GATATGAGAATGTATCATTAGTAGATATTCCTTCTCCTAATTCATTAACTCCAGTTATAACATATGTATAACGATGAATAAATAAATTATTATCTTCAAACTGATAACTGGTATCATATACTGATACAATAGTCACTTGACTACCAGTAATAGCGTCATATATTCTTAGTGTGTAATACAGTATAGATACTCTATCATCAACTGTAGGAGCAGTCCATGTTATATCAATAGTAGAACAGTTGTCAATTGAAGAGTCAATGTTAGTAACTGGACCAACTTTACCTAACAATGAAAGAAAGGATTGAATTAAAGAATGTATACAATGTAACAGTTTATTTGTACCAAATCCAAAAGAAGGTGTAGGTAGATATTCTCCTCCATTATTACTCAGTGATACATTAACAATAAATGTATTTAAATTATTAGGTACAGTTATTACTCCAGTAATCATCAGTTGATCATTAACTTGTGTTGGTATACTGGTACTATCTTGTATCTTGTTATTGATATTCAGTATATTAACTGTTGTATTATTAGGATATTCACCAACGCATAGCTCACTGACCTATGAGTGAGTGAGTGTGTGTGTGGGAATAAGGTGAACTGAAGTTATGCAAACAATGATCATTTGCTATGCATGCATTTCCTGTTAGTTTACTCATTGTGTGATGAGCTTATGGTGAATATACTTACATCAATACTGATATTCAATGATATTAGTTGTCCATCAATTACTGGTACCACTGATACAGGAGGAGTAATGAGAGGAACTGAAAGATACACTGTGAACATATACATGAAGCCATAGTAGGACTAACCTGTTTCATAATAAAAACTGATATTATTAGATGAACCTATTCCAACATCATTAATAGGAGAAACTGATACATTATTTAATATACAAGGATCAGGATTAGTAGCTGATAATATAATACTCTTGTTAGTAGTAGTAATGTTCACTAATCCCTTGACTATATAGTATCCAGTGATAGGTACATTATCCAGTGTATAAGGAGCTGTCCATGTTAATAATACACTGGATCCATTAATAAAGGTATAATCCAGATCAATAACACTATCCAATAGACCTGGAGGAGAAAGACAAAATACATTAATACATTCACAATTACGAACCTGCCACAAAATGTGATGCAGCTAAGCATCAAGGAAATAAATCCCCACACAATTTTGGTCTTGCATAAAATGTGTAGTACAGTATAATTCATGAGTTCAGTATGAAACCATAAATTAAGTTTTATACTCTTGATGTAATATCTTTATTTTACTTATAAAAAAGCTTATAAGATCATTTTAAAAATCTCAGTTTTGGTCTAGTATATACTTGATTCAAGTAACTTGAGTACTATACACACTTTTTCAAGTACTGATACTTAATTTTTTACAGTCAAAGAACCCTTGATTAGTTTAAAAAATTTAAAAATATAAAGAAAAACGAAGCAATAAAGCTTGTAACCATTATTTGTGCCCTGATGAATGCATAGTTTTATTAAAGAATTTTGCATCTTGGTATCATTTTATGAAGCTTAGAATGCATTTTGTAAAGTGGATGGAAGGCCTAAGGATTGCTGTTAAGCAGTCTCCAAAAGATTCTGCACTTATGGCATGTGGGTCTGTAGGAAGGAATATATTGCATAGACAATAATTATGCACACACACACACACACACACACACACACACACACACACACACAC